ATGTTTGAACAGTTAGAAGCCACCTGGGCTGCAGGCCCGAGCCTCGCTCCCTCTGGAGTTGTTTGCTGACGGTATCGCTGCAGTGTAAGCAGTCTTTGATATATTTGCTTTAATTATGGAGGATAATGAATTTAAATTTGTGATGTATCAAGGCTCTGAAATGGCAGCTCTCCCCAGGAGGCCGTAAATGTCTGATACCGCTTCAGGCTCCAGTGGGAGTTGTGAAAAATCTTATATACGAGATTGAGTTAATGAAAATAGATAGGCGCCCCGAATGCTAATGTTGATGCTTTTGGCGCCTAAATCTGGCAGCGGCCCAACGGGACCGAGCACCGAGCCGCAGTGGTTCAAATATGTGTGTGTGTGTGTGTGTTTGTAAAAGAGACACACACTTCTCCAGGGAGAGTAACGCTAACCTTTGGCTTCCCATTAGATAAATGCCGTACGTTTTGTTCTTCGCTCTTCGACAAATTGTTCTGCAGAAACCAACAAATTGTGCTTCTGAGATCAACGGAGGGGAAAAAGAAACATTCACTTCATTCCGTTCGGAGAGCGGCGAAGCGTCACTCTGCCCCAATCTCTCCCCCTTTGTTTCTCACGAAAGTTACACGAGGCGCGTGTTCTGCTCGCCGCCGCCGACGTCCATATTCGCTCCGTCCGCCCACGTGCAGCCCTGAGCCGCTGGCAATTAATTAATGGGACCACATGCACGGCTCAGCCAGCTTGTCAGACCTGCCAGTCATCAGCGCAGCGTGACAATGATCTGACCGTCACCGGCTTAATTGGCATTCGGATGACATGCTCTCCTCCTCACTGTAGACTGAATAAACACACACACACACACACACACACACACACACACACACAGGCAGGATGCAACCTTCAGTCCGCACCCCGCTGGATCAATAACCCTGCAACATCTGACATGCAGCAACAGCTACAGGAGTAAATGCTAAATATTCTCTGGCTCTAACTCGTCCCATGTGAGTAGTTTCTGCTCATAAACCAGATTAACCGTTTGCTCGTTTGCTTTTCGATGTCACAGCGTTGTGACGCGTTCTCTCGGGCGTCGAGTGTTATTGAGACCAGGAGAAGTAAATGAGTGGATGTAAGATGGAAGTGGAAATAAAATAATTCTAGGTGTAAAGTTTTCAGCCTAAAATCAAATAACCAGCTGCTCACATGAAAACTGTGAGGAAATATTTTCTGCCACATCTTTTTTCCCTTCTGGTTTCTGTTTTGTTTACGTTCTGCATATTTAACCAGGCAGAGGAGACGGACGTGTGTCAGGGCGGAGGGTTTCTTCCGCCACTGACACTTGATTGGTTGATGGATGAAGGGAAAGCACTCTCCCCTCCCTCCCCACCCTCTCCTCACCCTCCATAACCTCCACAACCTCCACTTCGTTGCTTTGTATGAGTGAGTCATAAAAACACAGAGCACTTACATTCCTGGAAAATCAGGTCATCCGCCGAACTGAGCAAAAGTCCAAGTGGGACGGGGTGGGGGGGGGCGAGGGGTAGGACGGCGGCACACTGTCGACTTCTTCATCACGAAACCTCCACCACCTGGAAACGCTGCCGGCTGGATGTAATTGAGGGGGAGGGGTCTTCGTCTTTGGCTCGATTCAAGGCCTCAGAATTCTGGGACTTCCGTGTTCACGAGCAACGACGGCACAAACTCCCCCAGTGTTTCCGAGGAGTAAATAAAGGTGATTGTTATTTTTCCTCCGTCGGGGATCAGACAACTTCCCCTCCTCCCACCTCGTCTCCCCCCTCCGTCACCACCACCACCCCCCCTCTACTGTTTCCTCCATTATATACACTGTGTTTCCTGTGCCTCCATGGGAGCTTCTAATTGCCTATTGTGCTCGCTGCTCGGCTGTCTGGGTGATGTGCAGTGACAGGCCGCATCCTCGCCAAAATAAAAACTCTGGAGATTCTCTGGGAGTCTCACATGATTTCTCACCCACACACATCTCTCCCCCCCCCCTCCTCACGCCTGATGTAATGTACAACACGTATGTCAAGTAGAAATGTGATGTGCGTGGAGTGGAAAGCAAGCGTCTAACAGTCTAGTTTAAGACGTGTAGAAAAAAAAATATTTTTTATACAATAATAAAATACGATATTGTTTTTTTCTGTATGTTTCATGTTGTGAATGAACATAGAGATTATTCTATTCCATGATTTACATACAGGCACAAGTTGTTTACAACATTTCTCACAGGATGAATTCGTTTCCAGAAATTCTAAAAGCGATTGAAACAAACACGGTTTTCACATCCACTTTATGTGTTTACATATCGCAAACAACATCATTGACTCCTCACCCTTCTTCACTTTAATATTCATGTGTTTGCTCATTCACAGGATAAAAAAATGAAGTGGTTTGCAAATTGGGAGAAAGAGAAACCCTGAAATGATCTTAAAGCTTAACAGCTCAGAAATAATGTGATGTGACATCTGCACTGACTGCTGAACACGGCCGTTTACAAGGGACGCTCTAAAATTTAAAAACCAAGGTGATAAAAGTGCGACTAATGAAAATGAAAGTCCTGCTTCACCAGCCGGCTCCTGAGGTCCAGTGGAACTGTAAATACAAATGTACGATCCAGCTCCAGCTTTTGTGACTTTCTTTATTTAAATGCTCAGAAACGTCGGCGGCTTGTTGAATTTGTTCTGCAGGAGGAATCTGGACTCTCGACTTCAATATTTCTTAAATCTTTGTTACAACCTCAATGTCAAGTGCTGCTGATAACATGCGGCGGCAGACAGTTTCCAAAACAACAGCATGAAAACATCTGAGGTCAGCAGCACTGTGGAGAGAGCAACAGCGAACGCGGGGAGACGTCAAAAGGACACGGAGGTAAAGTCAGGCAGCTGCACAGCAAGAAAAAAAAAAAGAGTAACTGAACAACATCCACGTTTCGCCCTGATTCTCACGTCCAGCGGACTGAAAACGAAGCTCATCCGTTAAATTAGAGCAATCAGTGAACCTCTGGGTGGCTCATCAGCGGCATCAGCTCCGTCCCCCATCTGCTCCCTGCCCCCACTGCAGCACCGCAGGTTGATAGGACCCTGTAGAGCGACATGATCCTGCAGAGCGATAGGAACCTGTAGAGCAGTGGTCGCCAACCCGTCGATCGCAGTAGAACCCTGCAGGTTACTGGGAACCCCACGGAACGAGAGGACTTCACAGCCCGATAGAGCTTTGCAGGGCGATATGACCCCACATCCCTTTAGGACCTCACAGGCTGACAGGAGCCTGCAGGCCGGGCACCAGGCTCAGCCTCTGTGATGAGGACATTTACATTTATTAAGCATTTGGCTGATGCTCGAACACCGAGAGTGATTTACAGTGAGCAGGACCTGAGGGCAGAGGCTGACCTTGTGTGAATCACTGCTCCCCTTTGTTTTATGATCTCAGCTGTGGCAGCACAGTCATGTTCTGTGAACGGCGTTATCAGACATCAGGAGAGAAGCTGCAGTTTTCCCACAACATCCTACGTTTTTGTAAACACTCCGTATCTCTGGAATGAACCAATCAACCTTGACGCTGAGCGCTAACGCAGTGGAATGTGTTGCTGAGGCCTAACTAATGAACATGCATATTAGATTGGTGTACTAAGTGCTTCTGTTATTTCCAGGCTCATGAGGTATAAAGGATAAACGCTTGTTAAATAAGCAGGAGAGATAGTCCGACCACCGATCGCAGCTCATTTCACCCGAGTCTGCACAACATAGATGAAAACTTTATCTCCTCGATCGTCAGCCGATAGATGATTTCCACAATATCAGAGAGAACCCATGAAGTAAACCGTCACTGAATCACTTACATTAGAAATGAAATGACTTTGCATTGACTTTCATTCATCGTGCACAATATTTAACCAAAACTATGACCAATTCATGGCTAACCTTACCCAGGACCTCATTAGAGTCAAGTTTTGGTCCTCACAAAATCTACTGGTCCTGACAAGGCCAGTGTTTGTGCTGGAGAAGGTCCTGAAGAGGAAACACTAATGAGTAAACACACACACACACACATGCAGTACCACAACAACAGGTTTAACAGTGATAACCTGGCAGCTGTCGACTCCCTTTAACTTACTCTCTAAACACTTCTGTCTAAAAACATTGAAACAAGCTGATGCTGATGGAAATTTAGCCAAACCCCCACGCACGCCTCAACCTCTTTCACCCAATCAAATCCTCCTTTCACTCTCGGCTGGATGAGGAGGAGATAGGAGTTAAGGTGACCTCATTCTGAATGAGGCAGGCGAGGCCGTATAATTGGATACACTCTGACGTGAGATTGAGTTTATACCAGGTTTTAGAGAGAGGCCCTCGCTGACCTGCCTCCGATGGATGTTTGTGAATGAGAGAGAGAAGAAACACTGAGGTTTAAACTGCAGCAGGGCGAGGTAAACGCTCCAGAGGTTGACCTTTGTCTCCTGTGAAGGACGCAGCTCCATCGCTGTTTCTCCATCACCTTTTTTTTTTTTTAGCCATGTTAGCTCTGTGGATGGAAACATAGCGATGCAGCGATGAGTCAAGTTATCGTGAAGTTGATTGACAGAGAATTGTGATAACCAACTAGAAAATCTCTCCTGCCGAGACGTTTTGAACGGGTGCCTTTTTGACGCCGCGCCGCACAGAGAGACATTTCCTTTAAGAGGAAGGACAGAGAGAGAGTGGACCAATTTCAGAGAGAGAGGGAGAGAAACCATGTTGTAAGGTTGTAAGGTTTTATCACCATCCATGGGATTTCATTTTAAAAATTCAGCCTCCTTCAGGCTTCCTTTTAAGGTCAGTAAGTATCTCTAGGGTTTTATTTTGAAAAAACAGGCTCTGTACAGGTTTCCTGGTAACATCCTATTACTATGGGGGGGTGGGGGTTCTTTATTTTTATTTTCAAAATATAGGCTCTTCACAGACTTTCAAATTTGATCAGTCAACTGATAGAATGAGCAATAATTTTAATTCTATATTAATCATTTGGAGCAAAAATATAAATAAATAAATAATTACCAGCTTCTCAGTCGTGATTATTTGCCAATTCCTTCAGTTTCTATGACAGTAAACTCAAAATCTTTAGGTTTTTGACTGTTAATCAGACAAAACGAACTAAAGCTGAATATGTTTAGGCTTCTGACATCTTCAGATACTCCAGTGTCCTCCCACGGTTTAAAGACATGCAGGTTGGGTGAGGTTCTTTTACCAGGGGGCACAGCTTCCCCGATAAACCTCTTTACCTCGCAGTCTGGTAAACATTTCCTGTGTCTGTGTGCAATGGCTTCTCGTCGATCGGCAGGTTTGACCGACCCGAGCGACTGAGACGTGGCAACCAGGAGTGTGGTAGAAAAGCCAGGAAGCGTAAAAGAAAAGTTTCTGATGCTCAGATGAAGAGGAAGTTGTCTTTGCAAAGGAAGGATGGAGGAGAAAGTCAGCGACGCATGCCGAACGCCAGGAGACTCACTGGCTCGTCGTGATGGACAACACCAGGAGTTGCACGATTACGCCGGCGACTGTTGGAGTCTTTTAAAAAGCTGTAAATCCTCACAGTTTGTGTGTCTCTCTGCAGCCGGCTGTTCAGTATCTCACTCTGCAGACACACACTTCCTACACGCCTCGGTACATGTCGCCCTCTTTTCTCTTCTTTCACTCACTTTGTCTCTCTCCGCGTTCTCTCGCCCAAATATCGTCCCTCGCATCTCTCACGTTCCTCCCCCTCCACTCGTCTTCCTCACTCTCTGATCTCTCATTCCGTCTAATTATTTCTCTCCTCTCATGTCTCCCAGGCTGCGGGTGATCAATGGTCTCTCACTGATTTATTTGGCAGTGAGGACGGTGTGAGTTGGACGCCGTATCCGGGGGAGTTGGTGGCGGTTACATGTCGGCAGGCGCCCATGTGCGGGGTATGAAATGAAGCGGCCTCTGAGCACACAGGACGATGTATTAAGGTCTGGAGATGAAGCAGAAATTGAATTTTGAGGCTGGCCGCTTCTCATTTCAGCAGCCTGACCTTCAATTCTCATGCTAAGTGGAGATGGATGAATATATTATATGTTGTGTATACAGAGACGCACATGGCCACACATGCATCCTGGCTGCAGAGGTTTTTAAAAAGCGTCCGGGGGTCTAATGACCTTGTTATGAGACGATCTCCGGGGGAAGATTTCATGCATTTTGAGATAAACCAAACCATGACGGTGAATGTGTGCACTTTCACACCTGGATGGCGCCTCTGTCCATCGGCTCCATCTGCCCCCCCCCACACTTCTGATCTCCAATTCAGCTCCGTTAATCCATGATGGAGGCGCAGCAGGGCGTCCAGGAATCAGCGGCTGGGTCAGATACTTCCCATCCACGAGGGATTATCAGAGCCTTCCTCGGGAAAGTGGAAAAAAAACCCCT